ATGTGATTATACCGTCTGTAATGACAATTTATATTTGCTTTTCTTAATCCGAAGGCGACTCGAAATGGTGTTGACATGACGGTATACTTTATGAAACGAAGTACAAAAGACGATTTAAATTGGTAATAATTTTCAATACACAGTCCACAAAAAATGATAGTTAACAACGTAAAGCTTTAAAAATGCATGACGCTTTGCTCAATACTCTTTAACTTAAATGAGTTGACATTGTCATAGCATAAACTAACATTGATGGAACTGCTGTTGTATTTAAATTCGTACTACTGTATTATGTTTAGGTAGTGAGTTTTTATTTGTTTCTTACTATTGAATGTACTGTACATTATAAAAAACCATAAGAAAATAGGCCGTACTAGAGTTTTTAAGAGAATAGCGAAACACTGTTAGTGTTGTCTGTACATTATTTTTCTATATATTTAATTAAAACAAACTACTTCATCATGGATTTAAACCAATATTGTCCTTTGTCTACGGTGAAGTAATAGAAAGAATGGTTATCGGTTATGCCCTATTAGCGTTTTGCTGCAACTCGAGAGTCTGTGTTCTTAACCACTTGCTTGTTTTCTCTCTTTTGTATTAATTTTCATTTGCCTGCATTCTCATATCCTGTCCCTTGATTGTGATTGTATTTGCTTGCTTTAGAAGTTTTTTTTGTGAAATTGCATTTTAAACATCAGTCTATGATTATAAATTAGACTGGATCATGCTGACAACTTATTAGTAATTCATTTGCTATGTCGTGTACTTGTTGCTTATGTATTAATAGTATTTACCATACTGTATATAAAACATACTCCCTATAAGGGTGTATGTTTTATCTATGTATTTACTAATGAGCATTTTAATTTTTCTGTCGGTATTTTTATTTCTTAAGAATACGTGAGGGAAGATTTTTGTGAACACTACTCCTCCCTTATTTGTGGACCAATTTCAACGTTTAAGGTGTCAAAAGATTCTGCCCAATTCGTAATTTTGCATTAAGGTTTTATAATTTAAAGTTCGTACCCTTATGGCCGTGAGACCCTTTCAAATGTCGGGGTTTTACTGTAAGAATTACATTGAACAAATAAAGAAACAGCTGTGTATATTTAAAAAAATACTCACCAGCTTCTTGGAAGTAAATATTAATGTATGTAGGTATTATTTAGGAGTTATTAGACCATTCCAAACAGTTAATCAGTTTTGTTGGAAGAACAGAAAATTTCTTGAGTTTAAAGAAGAAATATTGAAAACAGGAGGATGTTAAGAGGAAATCTTATATGTATGAAAAGAGAGGCTTGGTCTAACAGTAAGGAATCTAGATACACAATCACTTGGAGAGATGAATAATTTTTACCAGTTCAGCTATGCAACTTATTTTGCAAGTAAAAAATCATGAAGAATATACAAATCACGTTGTCACAGGGGTAAAGAAAACCTACCTAATGTCCTACCTATATTAAAATTAACGGTTGTTAATCTTACTTATATTAATAACAGTTTTAAACTAATATAAACTGATATCATAAATATGTTGGCCTTAGTCACCAACAAGACTACAAGATCCCGCCACTCATCCTACACTAATCTCCATTCATACTTGGCTTAAAATACCTACTTTGTATGGTCGCAATGACGTAGCCAGGATTTCAAAATAGGGGGGGGGGTCAACCGACCGGGGGGGTCCCCCCCGGGAAAAAGGGGGTCCGGGAAAATTTAAAAATTATTGGCCCTAAAACGGTATTTTTTAGCTCTCTTGGCATTGAAAATAATCAACCCAACGTCAATACAGTATGATAATATAATTTTACATTTAATTTAACAAAAAAAATTATATTTAAGACCGGAAGGAGGGGTTCGGACCCCCAGGACCCCCCCCCTGGCTACGTCACTGATGGTTGCCATTTCATTGAAAAGTAGCCCCCCCATACACTGGCGAACATGCTCGGCGTTTCCAACAGACGGTCAAGCATGCTCGCGAACTTGCTTGCCGCACAGTACTCTTGCTCCTCTCGTGCTGTGACAGTCCGACGAGCCGAGCGCCGAGCCCACTATGCGTGCCGGGGTGCGATGCCAAGGGCTCCCGACGGCACAGAATAGTTTCATAAATTTGTTCATACCAACACATAATTATTATATCACAAGTGCCTATATTTTTATTTGTTAAAAGGCCTTAAATAATCGTATTACCACAAATTTGACTGTATCACTATAATATTAGATTATATTAGATTGCACACTATAGTGTGATAGTAAAAATACTGTAATTTTTCTAATCATCATAATCAATATACAGGGTGTCCCGGAACTCTCTACCAATATTTTAGGGCATTGTTCCTGGGTAAGAAACATATCTAAATATCATATTTAAATTGTCCAGAAGTCCTTAGTTACTCAGATAGCCGCCATTTTGTTTTTTTTTCACTTATTATTTTTTTTCTGAAAATTGGTTAAACATACGAAGTTGAAACTTTGCACAAACATTTATAACAACTAGACAAAGCTACAAAAAAATTATGACGATTTTTCAAATTCATAAAACAAAATGGCGGCTGTTTAAAATTTTGTTTCTTAAATTACTCGAAAACCGTTGATTTTACAAAACTTTTACAAGAATAACTTTTTTAAGGTAATTTTATTACTAATCGATCGACACCTTAATCTTTAAGATCGGACGAGTATTAACTGAGATATGGCAGTTTTAGTGATACGTGACCGCCGGATATTAGTTGCAGCGCATGCTGAAAGCGGTCACGTATCACTAAAACGGCCATATCTCAGTTAATACTCGTCCGATCTTAAAGATTAAGGTGTCGATCGATTAGTAATAAAATTACCTTAAAAAAGTAATTCTTGTAAAAGTTTTGTAAAATCAACGGTTTTCGAGTAATTTAAGAAACAAAATTTTAAACAGCCGCCATTTTGTTTTATGAATTTGAAAAATCGTCATAATTTTTTTGTAGCTTTGTCTAGTTGTCATAAATGTTTGTGCAAAGTTTCAACTTCGTATGTTTAACCAATCTTCAGAAAAAAATTAATAAGTGAAAAAAAACAAAATGGCGGCTATCTGAGTAAATAAGGACTTCCGGACAATTTAAATATGTTAATTTAAATATGTGTGTTGGATATTTAGATATGTTTCTTACCCAGGAACAATGCCCTAAAATATTGGTAGAGAGTTCCGGGACACCCTGTATATGGTCAGTATTAATTGTTTTTATAACCGCAATAAACTGACTTGGATGGTTGCAGCTGAGGAGGTACAATTAGTAACAACCCTTGCAATGCAAGTGGAATGTAGGTGGTCTAGACCTGAGTGCACGTAATTGTCTTCATCTGCTCGGAGTACAATTTATGATGCAATATACAATACCCTTCCATTAATACAATTTACCTACGACCGTTTTTTAAAGTAGCCATTTCAGTTCAGTTCTTAGAATTGAAAAGTTTCACTTAACATCTGTTTACTTTCATAACAGCATAGTTTCATTTCATAACAGCATAGTTTTTCTCATAACAACACGGGTAACGGACCAATAAATCAGCTGACCAGCTGATCAGTTGACAATTTTAATTGTTGATCCGACTTGTTCCTGTTGATACTCGTGTATTCTTAACCTAAGTTGGTGGAAGTTAAAGGAAGTTAGATTAATCTGATTTAAAAATGTCAGTTAGTGAAAGTGAAGTTGACGAGATGGAAATGAGAGCACAAACTTTTAGTGCTAATCTTTTGCCACCAAAATCGAAACAAAGGTATGAAACTACATACCAGCAACTAATTGTTTCACTATATTATTCAGTTGTCCAAACAAATATACAATATTTCCGTAATTGTACCTGATACAGCATTTATGGTAAGAATGCTACTAGCAGAAACTATTACCTGCAAACGAAGTTTTACAAACACGTAATTACATGAAATAAGCTGATTATACAATAATTCGTTGCATAACTTTCAGTGGCAATGACAATAAACGAAAACATAACCTCTCTCAGAAGTTATGAGTAGCGATTGTTATTAATAATTAATAACAATCGCTACTCATAACTTCTGAGAGAGGTTAACCAGATTGTTAGTAATTAAAAAACTGTCGTAGGTAAAGTAGTGTACGCAACTCGCGTTAATAGTCTTTACGACACATGTAGAAGTTTTTAAGGCACTCGCCAAGGCTCGTGCCTTAATTTTCTACTCGTGTCGTAAAGACTAACTTAACGCAATCGTTGCGTAAACTACTATTACTGTACTTTGAATAATTGACCAAGTGTATATGGAAAATATACTATATGTTGACAAACACAATATACTCTACTAGAGAGTCTGCAATCTAATTTTTAGACAACCTTTTATAACTTTGCTTGCGATAGTTGTTTAGTCACGGATTCAAGTGGTTTGGTATGGTTTTGGTTTTAAGTGTTAAAGACTGATGTTGATGAAATTTCTTGCAAGCAGTTTTTATTAAAAGCCCAATACGGTACTATACTGTACAGGTATACCTAATATGTTGTTTGAGTTGTGGTTTATTTCCTAGAATCTTTGGAATATGGGGATTTTTGTACATTATTGTAATGTAATCCATCAAAATTTTGTAAAAGACAAGAGTTTTTAAATTATTTTACAATATACAGAGAATTGAGACAATTCTATTAATTTTTTTTCTATAGAAGTTGAATTAATTCCTAAAAAAAGCTAAACCCCAAAATTCAAATTACAGCTTCGTTGTCCCCTTCCTCTCAAAATTGTTTTTCTTACAACAGAAGAATCATTTCTATCAATTTAATGGTTGATTCAGTGTTTGAATAAAAAATCACATTTTTAAAATATATAAGATAATAGTAGGCTGGGCCTTAGGAAAATAAACAAATCTTAAAAACAACATTTAATTTTATTTACACAGTTAGAACAACAATTTCTATTAACATTATATACATTTGCTCTTGGATAAAGCTGTATGATTTAATAAATAATGTATATATATATTATATATATTAAATCCTTTGGTTATGGTTTCTATACATCAAAATTTTATTTACACTTTGCATACAAATTTGAGGTATAACACTTATTGAAGAGAGTAAATATTATTTTGTTCTAATTATTATTACACCGTATGTTAAATAGCTTTAATTTCTTTAAAACAAATATTATTATAAAATTAACAGTAGATAGACCAATAACAAGAGATATAAACTCTATTCCCTTTTAATGGATGACTATAATATATTTTTAAATCTAGAAAACAGTTTGCCTTGTAATAAGGTAATTCTTGTAATAACGATATTTAGTTGCATAAATAAATAAGTGGTACATTTTAACAACAGCTTATAACTAAGTAAATGACATATCAGTCTTATAAATTACTAGCCTAAATAATAAATAATTTGGCTAGAAAATAACTTTCTCAATAAAAGACATCAAACAAACCTATTTTTACAAACTTTCTAAAAATATAATTAATTTAACTTTTAATAATGCACATTATTGACTATGATGAACATTTTCTTCTTTGGTTCTGAACAATCTTTTAACAGACAAGGTCACGAGTAAATGGTCATTAGGATCATCTGAAAAAAAACCACAAATATCAATATGAATAAATTAATTAATCATTTCAATGTTACTCACTCGAATGTAGAAATCATACCTGTAACTTTTTCAATATAATTTGTCAAATAATGTCCAATAGAAAGAAAAATAAATACCCCCATCGCAGCAAACCTGCAGGCTAAGCGAATTTTCACTAACCCGGCTTGATTTATACTAAAATATTCCCTAAAAATTGTCAGATTAATTTCCTATTTAAATAACATTAATTTTAGTGAGTACTTAGGTTTGCTGCTACAGAGAAGATATTGAGGTGTGTTTTTTTATTTAAATGTTGATAGCTTCGTATGAAATAAACAAAATTGCAAAATTTGATTAAAATATAGCCATAAACAAGCAAACTATAACAGTTTATTTATTTTCCATAATAATAACATGGGGATTTTAAATTTACAATTTTTTAAATTATCTCCGTAACCGTTGGGTGCACACAACAACGCTTCAATATATAAAATTATTTCTTTTTTTAAGCTCTACAAAATGGTTTGGAGAGAAATTAAGAAATTTTGTGTTTTTGGAGTAAAAAATGGGAAAAATCTATTCTTACCCAATAAACCCCCATAAACTTATGACTGAATGGTTTCTGGCTAATAATCTTAAACTTAACAGAAATAAAACATATTATGTGAACTTCCATTCTAACAGCATAAAAAGTAGACAGATTGACTATAACCCGTTAGAAGGCATATTTAATCAAATTCAATCTTGCAATCTTTTACGAATAAAATCAGACTCAACTCTAACATGGTCTGATCATATAAATCAATTAGAATCAAAGCTTAATGCAGAATTTCACGTTACTTAAGTGCTTTCTAAAATAATAGATGAAAAAAAACTCAGATAATGATATACTTTGAATACATGTACTCTAACATTGGCTATGGTATTGAGTTCTGGGGAAATGCCACAGATAGTAAAACAATATTTAAAATACAAAAGAGAATTATAAGACTTATTGCACAAGTTTGTCCAAGAACATCTTGTAGAAATTTGTTTAAAAGAACGAAGATTTTACCTGTGCCCTCTTTGTATATATTCAACACTTTAACTTTGTCAAAAAAACATTTTTATATTTATGAAGAAAAACTAACTAACTCAGCTATACAGCTTTAGGCCCATGAGCTCTGTGTTGCAGTACCCCATACATAAATCTGCGGCCTATGAAAATAGTACTTTTTATATGGGTCTCAAACTGTATAATAAGCTTCCTTTATCACTGAAAGAGGTTGAATCATTTAAAAAGTTCCGGTTACACTTACTGTCTTACCTGTTATACAATTGTTTTTACAGAATTGAGGATATTTTTTATCAGTCTGATTGTAGTACACATAACTTATTGGCATTGATATAACTTATTTGTAAATTTTGCTAATAACCTAATTTATTTTATACTTGTTGCTTTTATTCTATATACTAGTACACAATGTATATTTTGACAATTTACCTGCCTGCGTGCAGAAGCACTCCTAAGGCGTTAGGTGATGTATTTTAATAAATAAAAATAAATAAATAAACCTCCGTTTCCATAGTCTCATTATGCTGGTTCGGGAACTCGTTCGAATAAACATAGGTTTACATATTTGAACCAAATTTCATCAAAATCGGATGGATGTTTGAAGACCGATTGAGGTGACATTTTGCAGAGAGGTGCTTGATAAACTTGAGAAATACATAGGCATATTAAAGTTATGAAAATCCTATAGATCTATGCCCGACGGGGGTTCAAAGTTTCCATGTTATTTTGAGTCTTCATATTTAAAAGGAAAAGAATTTTGCCAGCTGTTTCAACAAAACAAGTTGGTTCTATGATATTTAATAGCATTAAAAATTTACCAAGAGGGTGCAGCACTATTGGTAAATTTTTGTTTTGCAGGCACAAGTGTCCGGCCGTTTCCATTCCAACTGGGCACATGTGCCAGCGACTCGCGGCACATGTTTTGTCGCGCAGTCAGCGGGGCACAAATTTGTGCCGGGCACTTGTGCCAAGGCTGTTTCCATTCCTACGAATTCGGAGATTTTTTTGTCACAAATTTGTAGGAATGGGAACGTAGCTTTACAGACCAAGAAAAACTTAATTCACAATTTTCAGTTTGATTGTACTTATGTAGTAAAAGTTGATGGAGTTGAATTATAATGTATGTCACACCATTTACATTCAAGAGCTATTCAGGCTAATGTTATACAGCTGCACTTGAGGGTTGATGAACTAAATAAAAAAATTTTTTTTGTCACAAATTTGTAGGAATGGGAACGTAGCTTTACAGACCAAGAAAAACTTAATTCACAATTTTCAGTTTGATTGTACTTATGTAGTAAAAGTTGATGGAGTTGAATTATAATGTATGTCACACCATTTACATTCAAGAGCTATTCAGGCTAATGTTATACAGCTGCACTTGAGGGTTGATGAACTAAATAAAATATGACCTTTAAACTGTTTATTTTAACACTTGGTAGACAAATTGTAGAATTAAATACCCCCGCCGCAGCAAACCTGCAGACTTAGCGAATTTCCATTTGCCTGATTGGATTTAAACTAAAATGTCTCCTTAAAAATATCACATTTATTGACTATTTAAACAGAATTAGTTTAATGAGTACTTAGGTTTGCTGCAACAGGGAGGGTAAAAAGTTTTTTTTTTTATGTAAAATGTTAAAAGGTACTGTGGTTTAGTAAGAAATTAATGTATTTTCAAAATTTGATCAAGATATGTTCATAAACAAGCAAACTACAACAGTTGACTTATTCTCCATAAGAATAACATGGGAATTTTAAAATTGCAATTTTTTTGAATTTTCTCCGTAACAATTAGGCGCATAATAACACTTCAATATACTAAATTATTTGTTTTTTTAAGCTCTACAAAATGGTTTAAAAAGAAATTGTGAAATTTTGTGTTTTTAGGGTCAAAAATGGGAAAAACCTATTTTTACCCCATAAAACCCCCCATAAACCCCCATTCCCATAGTCCGATCATGCTGGTTCGCGAACTCATTCAAGTTTATCCCGCCTTACACCTTCAAACCAAATTTTATCAAAATCGGACAAAAATTACTCAAGTTATCGTGCGGATGGACACATATATATATATATATATATATATATATATATCTATATATAGATATATAAAAATTTAAACGAATGGTGTTTTTGGCCTCTGGGGACATCAAAATGAAAAAGTAAATCGGTCCCGGCCTTAAGTCTTACCATGAGACCTACGGTAATAGCTACTTCCCTATAGGGAAATTCGCTAAAAGGCTTCATAAGCTGACTTTTCTTAGCTTGTAAGTAGGTTTCAGTGATACCCTAATTTTTATTTTCGCTAATGTGACACATTCTAAACCATTGGCTTCATAAGTGTTAAACTGAATTGTAGAACGTCAACTGTACAGGTCTATGTCCTTACCTCTTCTAATGACAGTGGATTTCCTTTCATTTTCGTGTCCAGATTGTGGTACCTCTCTGTAGATAAGAAAAACAATGACATTAATTTCATTTATTGGAAATCACTAAAAGAGTTCTTTTGTAACAATTTGATGTATTTTATATTTTAAAATTTTGTCATTGATTTAAAAGCAAAGCAGTATTAGTTTTGTCAAAACTTGATGTGAGCCTGCAACCACTGTGAGCTCTCTGATTGGCTGTTCATAGTTCGATCCTATGTAAAGATAATCAGAGTGCCTACGTCACAACCAAGCTTAAAAAAGGGGTCGGACCACGTGGCCCGGTCTCATTTGGTCAGTGTAGTAGTCTTGTATAATGTGAAATTGCTTAGTGCACATATTCCCCTTTGTGGGTAAGTCTTAGCTTTAATTTTTACAATTTTATTCTATTTATTGTTGTGAGTACGGAGGGTGCAGGCAGACAGAGGTCTTTTTATTTAATAATTTTCAGCTTTATGGAAGAATATACTTTGACCCTTCAGGCAATTAAAAATATCTTTTGTTTTTATGCTTCAACTACCAGTGAGAAACAAATCAATAAATGGGAATGCAATCTAAAAGACTATTCATTATTTCCAAGAACCAAAACCTGCATAATTAAATTTCTGTGTGAATGAATACATAACTATCCAAGAACACCAAAAATTTGTACTGGTTTGAAAAGACTTTTTAAAGTAAAACGGTACACTTTGATTTGTCAATAAGAATAAATATCGACACAAAAATAGAGAAAAAGTTGTATGGTAAGCTCTTTAAAAAATTGACTTCTAGTAAACTTGGGAATGTTTTGATTCAGAAATGTTATGAGTGAGTTCCAAAAATCTAATCTCAAAAGGGCCAACATATTTTCTCGCATTGTCGTCTTTGTTTTCACAGAAATACATCCTGTGTAGCTTTTCAAAATGTTAAGATAACAAGTTTTCTGGTCTTTCATTCATGGTCTATATTCTTTCTTAGTGAGATCTTGGATATAAATATTTTTTTCTTATAAACACAGCGTATAAAATAGTATCCAAACTTGTTTTAAACAGACTTAAATGTCATGCAGAAGAAACAGTAGGAGACCACTAAACAGGTTATATGAAAGGGAGATCAACAAATACAAAAAAAAAAAAAAAATCGAATTGGAGCTTAGAAAAATTATTTAAAAATAAACTTCCATCAAAAGCCACCAAAATAAGATGTATAAAATAAAACCACAGTGCATCCTGTAGTGCTATACGGTTCGGAGACTTGGTTTTTCACAAAAAAATCCCAAAAAAGACTTATTACTTTTGAAAATATAGTATTGAGAAGGATTTTTGGACCAATAAAAGATGGAGACTCATGGAGAATAAGAAAAAATTGGGAGTTTAGGGAATTATATAAGGAACCAGATATTGTGGGAGTGGTAAGGAGTAGAAGGTTGAGGTGGCTGGGCCACATTCAACACAGTGGTGAGAAAGATATGGTAAAAAAAAGGATAAGAGGTACTCCAGAGGGCAGGAGGCCATTGGGAAATGGACCAAGAGTGAGATGGATTGACAAAGTTATAAAGGACCTAAGGAGTATGGGAGCAGACCTGGAGCTGGCAGAGGATAGATAATCCTGGAGGCACATGGTTGGTGAGGCGATAGACCGCCTTGGTTTTTAATGGTCACAGGAGTTTAGTTTGGAGTTAAGTAAGTATATATATTTCCCATTTCCCAAATCATTTCAATCATAATTGTACAAGGAAACAAATCAAAATTGCTTGGTATTTTAAGTTTTAACCGCAAAAAATACAGATAAACTTGCCACTTTAACCCTCCGAGTGTCATGCGTCGCTGCAGCGACTCACGAACACTGTTTACGGCGAAGGCTCTATGACTGACAAAATCGGATTGAACTGGATCGAGTTAGGTATCGTTCTTTTCGTTAGATTCTAAGCTTTCTCCAGAGGTCTGTCTCTAAGCGCTTTATGTTCTCCGAGCCGATTGTAATTGTAGCAGACAGCTGACGTGCGTATTTGTAAACAGGTTAGTTAACCTCGGACCGATGACTGATGTGTTTTATTATGTTTATCATTGTTTTAGTGTTAAAAATCAAAAGTAGTGATATACGTGGTGCATTATAAGAAGATTTAAGTGATTTTGAAGGGCTGGTTGATGATCCTGAAGAAGTAGGTAGTGATATTGATGTAAATTATCAGCCAGATTCCTAGCTATGGTTAGGCTATGCATTCTTAGCTAAACGCTATGTACTGAAATCTGTTTTTTGCCCATAACTTATTTATTTGCAAATCTACTTCCTTATATTATTATATATTTGTAATCCTCATAAAATTTAGAACAAAGTGGCTATTTTCAAATATTTATAGAACTATAATTTATAAAATTTAATTGAGCGCGAACTTATTTTTTTTTTCAATTTTTCAAAAAATGTTTATTGAAACAAATATTCCTTAGGTTTTATGTATGATATTGAAGCCCATGATTTTCCAAACAAAATGGTATATAGAACAGTAGAATTAACATTGTTTTAAGCTTTTCAGATCCGTTTTAATATAACCTTGCAAATGCGCCAAAAATAGGCGGACATTAAGGCCTAAACTATGGACACTCGGAGGGTTAATTACAGCACCCTGAGCTAAATTTACTGAATTCCGAATTTTTTATAAATTCTGTTAGAACCAAGCATACACAGTTTCTCAACTTAAATGTTGGGTTTAGTGATTATATTTAATAAGTTTTGTATTATTTTTCAAGATTCAAAATTCCTGGTTTTTAACATCACTAGGCCAATCTTCCCAAAATTTAAAATCTACAGATTGGATGTTACTTTGTCTTCACACAATTTAACAACATTAGACCTTTTCTACCTCAAGCAAAAATTCAAATAACAATTAAACCAAATACCGTAGCAATCAGGCCTAGTTTCCAAATTTCTTAAAGAAATTGGTAATACTATTCCATTGTTAACCAACCAAGAATATACATGGTGACATAAATAGTAATTATGGAAAGAAAAGCAAATCTCACTTACCATGTGCAAGGTGTAGTCGAACCATCGCCATAACAAAACACTCGGCCGTGACTGTACAGTTCTTGGCAAACCTCAACACTAGACACTCAAGCACTTTATTGCTTACAGTGCTGCCAGCCTCCCATAATAGTGATCTCAGATTGTAGCTGGAAGTTTTGCTGGAGTGACCGTTGCGCTCAAACTTCTCAAACGCTATCTGTAATGCAAAACAGACAACTGAACAATAGACGAATAGACAGTCAAGTACTTTGTTGCTTACAGTGCTGCCAGCCTCCCATAATAGTGATCTCAGATTGTAGCTGGAAGTTTTGCTGGAGTGTCCATTGCGCTCAAACTTCTCAAACGCTATCTGTAATGCAAAACAGACAACTGAACAATAGATGGTCAAGTACCTTATTGCTCAAAGTGCTGCCAGCCGTAATATTGATCTAAAGTTGTTGTTGGACAATTCAGTGGATTAGTTACTGTACTTAAACATGCTCTAACACTACCTCATCACCTGTTAGCATAACAAACAACAATATACTCTAAAACCCTAATAGTCCAACCTCCCCGACTCCTTGCTTAATCATACCACGCCATCGCCTGTGAATTTCGGATAAAATGTTAACACAGGAATTTTGTTACTATTTCCAGGGGTAGTGTGGACATCATCACCGTTTCTGCAACCGCAGGAAAAATACTCTTTATCGCCTGTGGTCACAGAAACATCATCATCGTCTTTTGCGATCGCGCAAAGATTTTGATTTTAGACAAATCCCGTGATCGTGGAAAAAAAATCATCATTGCTTTTGGCGATCACAGGTAAATATTTAACACCTCCAGAATCAAAAGGAAACTTAAACGTTATTAACTGCGATTGCAGCAATCTCCTGAATATCTCCTTCGGTAACGGAAACATCACCATCATCTTTCAAGATCGCGGAAAATCCTAGGCAAATCCCATGGTCATGAAAAAACTTCATCATTGTCTTCGGTAAACAAGTTAAAATCCTAAACATGCTGCTCATCCTAAACATACCTACGTCAACAATTCTAATTTAGTCTTCGGCAACTAGTTTTGAAACAACAGTTCCCCTTTCAAGCCTCTTGCTTCATAATCATTCAAAAACATTGTCATCGGCATCACGTTATTTTAAAACACGAGCACCGACTCATTTTATTAACATGTAACATGGCTATTATGAGGAAGGGTAAGACTAGCCTTTTTATTAGTCCAGCTTAACCATTGGCATAGCCTAAAAACCACATAGATTTCTTATGTTATAGGTTAAAGCTAACCTTAGTCATCACTTCAATAGTTATGATAGGCATGATACACTGTTGTGTTTGGTTATAAACAAGTGTAATGAGAGTTATTAATTCTGTATTAGCTTGATGTAAACCTTAGAGGGAGTTAGCACTTAACCTGGCTTAGTTCTTCCACGACACTTTCTACACTTGGTAAACCCGCAGATCGTGGCCTTAGGCCAAAAATCTGTCTCAAAGACGAGAGGAAATGCGGTATGTGGTATGAGTACTATAAACCGACAACTTGAACTTAAAACTCATTGTTGATAGAAACAAACAACATAACCTCCAGTCAACACAACAACAAGCTCGAGCGTCTGATGATTTGGCGGCTGCAGACGACAGCGGCCGGCTTGATTGCAGTAATTTAATCTCTGTTTCTGTTTAATTACCGATTTTTGGTTAGCCCTGTGAGATGATTCGTAACCAACCCCTTGAATTTTATTTAATTTTATACTTTGTGTGTGATGAGTTAACGAGAGGTGATGCGATTGTTTTGGTGCGAATTGGATAGCGAGTAGATTTGGCCTATGGTGTTGAACCATGTGACGTGTGATGAACACAAGAGACTGACGAGTCAGTGTGGAACCAGCATGTCTTCGGCAGCTGTGCTAGCCTGTCAAACCTACCTGGAGTAAGGACTGACACACGACACTGGATTTAGCGACTTTTCAGCGGCGATGGTTGAGTCAAACCAACCTACCGTGACAGAAGATCGACGGAGAGCAGTCAGCTAGCCTACCATGATTCTTGAAAGGCTGGGGTTGTGCTTGCTGTGATAAACCATCCACAGGAACTCACGTCGCGCTGTTGGCCATCTTCTGTGTAATTTGATTGTTTATCCAGCAGCATCGAACCAACCATTGCAACAGAGAACCTTGGGGCGGAATGCACCTCAGCCTGTAGCCGAGGTCGATGGGCAAGCACGAGCTCTATGCTACAGGGGCGTGTTGAGTAAATGTAAGCTCGAAGTACCACGATGACACGTGGCTGTGTGATGAACCAGATTCGTGGGGACTACTTGCAAGGACGCAAGTAGCTCACGTCGGGGATAGAAACTAGAGTCAACGGACGGCCATCATGTGATCACTGCGGTGGAAGAGGCGTTGACATGGGTCTGTGTGATAAACCAGACACCCAGGATGACGGCAGAGACCATTGGGGTCGATGACTCCCGGCTGTAATCTCGATTGGGGACACGATGGACACCCAGCCTGCAGTGAAGACCAGGTGAAGTTGGAGCCTCAGCCTGTAGCTGCTACGATATGTGGGTGGTCCGAACCCTGGCTACAATGGCAGGTGAAGTTCCCCCGAGCACCGCGACGACCCAGTGATCTGTTGTGTAACTGTGTGGATAAGAATGTCACAAACATAAACAAATGTGTGGCCAGGCATAACACGTGCGGTCACGGACTTGATGCAACTTAAAATTTGATCAACTGTATTGCCTATAAGTTCTTCCTGAGGCAGGTGTCGATTCCTTACAGTTGTTCCAAAAGTACAGAGTGTCATCCTTAAATTTTAAGTTATAAGTAATATCTTAGACTATTAATATAGTCTTAGACTTCTGTATCCAATAGTCAATTGTAATATCTAATTCAGCAACCAAGGTAAAGCATTTCATCCAGCCATTTATCAGGGTAAACACAGAAATAATAACGATAAATAATCATACCCATACTTTTATACCCCCACCAAGATTGCCAATTAGGTGAGGCATTTTGAGTTTGACGGGCTCTGAGATAAAAATAGATCAAGCAGACGAGTAGACTTACCCTCCAAAACTGCAGCATATGCATCAATACTGGGATGTCCAACACGTTGATTCTCCCACTGATGTTGTAATCTCTCAGCATGATCAGTGACTTGCAAAGCTCTAGACTAGGTTTCTCTAGGAGGTAAGCTGCAAGCAATAGAGGTAAGGTAAAGAAGCTACCTACATAATGTATCAAACCTAACTAAATTTTTGCTTAAACTTTACCTAAAGAAGTTGTGTTGTCATTCCATTGTATTTGTTATTAGTTTAATTTGTCCATATTAGTTGAAGATATTCACACTGCCTTGCCATTTGATAAACATTAGGAATTTGATTTCCTCTGAGTTCTAAATTCCATGACTAAATGTAGTTGATTATATTTTTTGTGCACAAACTAATTCATAGCCTTTATTGTCTAACTGCATAGCATCTAATTGGGACCAAACCATGTTTGGGTAACCAAATTGTACGGATTAGCCTGAAATTCAGTAGGCCTAAGATTGTATTAAAACACGATGCATTTCATGACTAAAAATGGCAATAAATTGATTGCAACACTGAACATATTCCACAATAACAGTGACTTGTGATTGTCTTCCACAACCAAAAAGTTTCTGTAATTAGGTATCTAACATGATTACATTCTTCTAACTACACAACGAGCTTAAAAGAAACAATGAATTAATAGAAACTAAATAGATGCTTGGAAATACACTGTTTTCAATCAGGACTATTCCAATTTTTCCTGTTTTATACAATATTCATGTACAGTTCCCGATCTGTTAGGCACCCAGCTTAATAGTTCAGAACACATATAGCTGTGTTTGAGATTTAAATATATAAATTGTTTTCCTCCAACTGTTTAACTGATTAATGGAGTTCTGAATATCGGATCCTGGGTTACCTGAGTCTGATTTCTGACTTTATTGATAAAAACTAGAGGTGAGCAGGTCCGACATTAGTTGAAGGATTATTATTTTAATGAACAATCCTTCTCAGGATGTTTTACAGAGTTTACTGACAATCTACTGACGTGTAGTGTGCGTAATTAAATCACAATAGAACAAGATGTCCAGGTACAAAGTAACAACTAACAACCCTTTTGACTTCTTATTTCAGAGGAATTCACCTACAGGTATTAAAAACATTTGCCAGCCAAACAAAGACAGAACTATTGCAGCACTTAGTATTCCGCTACCAAAGTGCCATTGAGGATCAGCGAGTATCTAAGGTGCCATGTAAATGTGACAATGTTGTATTACCTGCTGAAGTAATATCTGTATCAAGTTGATCACTGCACGAGTACTCAAACTAGATGAAATATTAAGCTTAGACAAATTATAAACAACTAAACAGCTCCTTGAGGAGTTAAAACAACTATAGTTCAGCCGCTCAGAAAACGACCTGCGCGCTAATGCTAAACCAATGCTGTAGGAGGTCGCTTTCTAAGCGGCCGAGTTATAGTTGTTAACTAGTTACTAACCTTTCCAGTGTGCTTTGAGAATCTTTTGTAACTGAGCAACATCAACTTCGGGTGGATATTTTATGAGGAGTTTTGCTACTAGATTTTTCCCATCAGGCTGTAAACAGAAATTTTCTTGTGAAATAAAATGATCATCTTAAATACCTACATAATTTGTTGAGTAGGAGTAACATTAATTTTGTAAAGAGTGTTTGGTAGCATTAAATGCAAAAGGGCTATTTGTGTCCTACTATGAAAATCAGAGGTCCTTAAATAACTCAAAAATGGAACCAGCTGTCATAGATATTAGGTTTCAAATAATGATCAATATGTAAATTAGAATTAATAACTCACCAACACTACAGCATCTTCTAAAAATTCTGCAGATATATTTCTAAATACCATGTTATCTTCATTGACTTCCCTGAAACCAAACAGTACATATGAGAGGAAAATTTATTTAAATTTTGTGTTTAACTATTAAATAGTGCACGATTTGCAAATAACTTGCTATGCTTACAAATAACCCTAAGACTTGTATGAAATATTGTCTGGGAATTTATAGAAAATAATTTTTTCTAAGAAAATTCATGACATTGTGTAATCAAAATTTAGCTAGTTTTGGTAAAATATAAACAAGGTTTGTATGTGGATTAAAGTATGGTATCCAATGTCATGACGGACTGAATCAACTTCAAATTCAACGCTAATTATACGTTCTTTACTTCCTCTCCTGCTATTCTGGCTGGTCTCTAACTCTAGCCCCATTCAGTGTCATCGAAGCATCCATAACAATGGAAGAGAACATTTATGTTCCCGACAATAATGAATTGCGGCATATGATTAAATGTATGATTTTTAGAGTTGATGAGTCAACCCCTTCATTGGCATATTTAAATCCATTCCCAGCTGACAGATGTCAAGGGAATAAAATGAATGGATGTGAAAAATTAGCTAAAGTGGTTTAGGGAGCTTTCACAACAAGGCTAGCTGCAGGCGTTAACACGTTCGCTGCTGACCGCTAGATGCCGGGACGGCGCCAGGAGCTGATGTAAAAGCTCGCCGCTGCGCGACATTGCCGCCGATACACTGAATTACAGTAAAAACAACAGTAGTTAAACTGGATGGCAATGTTCTGCAATAAAATTGGCTTTGGACGTAGTACTAAGTGATTCTGATTGATAGCAGCAATACCCAGGTTACAGTCGATAAAGTAGTGTCCCTATCTAGCAGAAAAGAGATGGAACAAACCCCTGTTCCAAACGACCCTGGTGGTGATTTTGGGTTCCGGAAGCTTTCCGGAACGTTTCTAGCCGTAGTTCCTGGCGCCGTGGCCCGGCTGACGTTCCGGAACGTCCGTAGCAACGAACTTGTTAATAAGATTTTGAGACAGTTGGACACATCACTGTAATTTAGCTTTCTGATCAGTGAGTTTAATTATGGACACTACAATTTCCTTCCTCTACAGCACTCTCTCTCTCTTTTAGACACCTCCCCTTATCTGATTAGCAATCTCTCAAATTGTCAGTTAGTTAGCATCTAACTTCTTTAACATTTGGCACTGATACTTCAAAACTAATATGCGCTTGTGGCCGGCCTCGATAACATGTGTTTGTACATCCATACACTTTTCTCCATTAATATTCTGCAACTGACAATGTATTTCAATTGGGGTTGATCACTTAAACAAGGTTTGATCACATAATACAATTCTGGCTTGGTGGAAGGATTGATTTTCCCTGCCATTATTTACAACAACTACAATACCAAATGTCACAAAGTGGTAAGAACGGGTTATAATTGTATGTAGGGGAGGTAAAGAACCCAGTGCTAGTCTTGAATTCAAAATAGATTACTCCACCAGTGAATTGGGGAGATTAGAACCAAGCATCCTCCAGGACAAGTCCTGCACTCAAACCAAAACTATCATCAATGAAGAGCAGTTCAGAAATATTCATTTGAATAATTGTCTTTACTTTATGTTTATTATTATTTTCATTACCATGCTAAAAGTAAAGAACATATTTTCTCCAAGTAACCTACGCAAATCTTATTATTGGAGTAGAACATAAACTTACCAAATATTACTTTGTTCGTCTGTAAGTATTCTAAGAAGAAACTTCCCATCACAGTTTGGCACATTGGTTTGAGGAACAACAATATAATCTCCAGGTGGTAGAGTAAAGAAAGTCACTACCTCTCTAGCTACAGAGTGGTTGGTGACATCAAGCGGCTTCTGAAAATTTACAACCAATAATTTAGTTTATAAAATGAATAATGATTACTAAGAAAGAGATAAAGCATTTTACATTGCCCTCCCTGAATTTAACTTAAACACAGAACTAGAGATGGTCGAATCCAGGAATTTTGAATCCGAATCCTAAAAAAATTGAATCTCGAGTCCCAAAAATAAATAGAAATGGGCTTATCGTGACTAAAAAGGCAATAACGGAATAGGAACCATTTAAGACTTATAACCACCACCACGACAATAACCTCTATGGTTAGTCAATGTCACAGTACTGTATACTACGACGTTGATAACCTATAACCTCTATGGTTAGGCAATGATGAGGTTTTTTTTTATTCCCGAATCTCGTAAATTGAATCTCGAATAGATCTTTTCTTAGGATTCAGTGGATTCTATATTCGTATTCGACACATACCTACACAGAACAATTTATTTCTCATAAGTCCATATTTTGCTAAATGTATTTTGTGCTGCTGCTTTTGCAGATGTAATGTGTGATGACGCAGGTATTGACAAACAATAATTAATGGCACGAATGAAGTTAACACAATCGCTGAAGGTGATTCATTACTGACCCACGGCAATCGCAGCCTCACGCGGCCGGGTCAGTACTGACCCACACTGCAGTAAATAAATCTTAAAATATTTTTACAGGACTGTGGCAAAATCTCATTAGGCCTAGTCATGTAGACATCATCTTTGCCTCCCATGGTCATGGAAAATCATAATCCTCCGCAATCGTAGTAAAAGCATGAATTTTTCGGCCACCAAATCTTCACAGACAATCTTCTGCGACCGCAATAGTAAATGCTCGGCTCGATTCGGGCTATTTTCTGTAAAATACCCCAAATCTTTGTACAAATTTAACTATGCAGATTTTTCACAATCCGAATGTGTTTCGGTCACTAATTGATTTGGATAATTTGAGTTCTGCTGTACCACCATCTATGAACTGTATAACAGCAATTGGTTCTGTCCCCACTATTCCCTTAGCAACTCCTTAGCAAGATTAAGGAATACTAAGAACTTTGATCTAAATAAAAAAAACTATTTTTATCTAATATGATACAAAAACAAGAGCCAACACAACCCAGAATGATACATAAGCATATTGTGCAGCTTGTAGGCCTAGAACGGTACAAGGCCCCACTAAAAGCAACATTACGTCACAGTAGTGGATAGTTGTAGTAAAGTTGCCAGACGTAAAATCCAGCTTATTTAACTAAAACATATGATAGATGGATAGATATATGGATAGATAGATAGATGGATAGATAGATAGATGGATGGATTTATTTGATCATTAAACATTCATAAAATGCAATAGATCATGTCAATAAATAGTAAGTAAGGTAATCAGAGAGATACATGCAATCAAGCTACATCAATTAAAGGTTTACATGCACGATAAATAAGTAACTATAAGATAAATTATAAATAATACAGACAGGCTTACTAAACAATACATGCGCTAGTAATTACGTATAAACTAAGTTAAATCACATTAGGAGGCATACTTGAATAAAATAATGGGATATGGCAGTGAATCTATCCACAAGTGTGACGTCATGGATCTGCAGCATGGCCTGTTTTTCTAGTGGGGCCTTGTTACAGTATGCCACAGCCATATTAAACAGATTGATTTTAAAGGAAAGAAAGGATAGTTGATTAAAGCACCAATTTCTGGATGAGTTAATATTAGCAGAGAATGGCATTATGTTACGATGTAGTCACAATCTGCATTTATCAAACTTAACATAATATGAAACACATAAAAACTAGCTTCAGGATTTACAACAGTGTGAGCAGTGAATTTTTAGTAATTAAAGTCAATGTTTTTTTGCAATTTTGCTCTAAGAGGTAGATTTATTCCAATAAAATATTTAACAACTTTCTTTAGCGTAACATATTATGTACTATAAATGTTCACACTTTGAAAACTTATGGGTGCAAACAAAAAAAAAACTGCTTGCTACTACAAGTTGTTATTGCAGCCATTCATAACTGAACTGAGCTTGGAAAGATGTGTGATCAGAAATATATTAATTTAGAATTCAATTTGATTACTATTTCATTGATCCTGTGTGATACGTGTGTCGTATATAGCTGATTTAAGTCGAAACCTAATTTATAACAATTTTAATCATTTAAATATTTTGCATGAACTGACTTCTATTTATTTTTACAGTGTGTAACTGAATCAAATACCTATGAGAAAGTGATCAGTATTGTGATGAATAATATGGCAGGAAGCACTGCAGAAAGATGACCTTGGGATGACCAAGACTGTGTTAAAGTTACCAGATAGACATTATAATGATGGATGTAGAAGAGGAACATCAAGAGAGAAGAGTGTGCAAGACATAAGGAGGACATTGATGGGGAGCCAAACACCTGTTACATTGAAGTATGTAAAATTAACAACTAAAATAATGACATAATGAACCAACAAACATTTTATAATTTTAATAATACATTGATAAAGATTAAAGATTAATTTGGAGATTTTCACATTACCTGGTCGGCTACAAACTGAGGTGTCAGCCTAGGCATGGAGTAAGGAATTTCATAGACAGCAAAGCCAATGGCATACAGTGGCTTCTTCTTCTTACTCTCTGGTTGTGTCTCGTAGTACTGCGTAACAGAGACTACAACATGGCACTTGTTGCTTGAAGTACGGGGGATTTGGATATGAAATTGTGGGTTCATTGCTGTGGTGTCTGTGTAAAAGTATAATACAAGGTTATTTATAGTTTAGTCTAATAAATATTATAGGTATTCATATTGTAATAGGTTTCATTAGGTTTTTTAAGTATAGGATTTGAAAATGCACTTTTATTAAACTGTGCGAGTTTAGTTGAGTTAAAGTGATTGCTTTCTCTGAAGGTTACTGGTTCGATTCTGGACCAAGAAGCTGTTTGTCATTGGGCTATCAGTTAATTAGCGGTCTGAGTTTTGTCTCTTCCTAAGAGATCAGTTTGTGCCTTAAATAAAGTTAATCCTTAACTGCTATTTGAGATGTTCAAGCAACTTGATTTTTTAGCCAAGCCGAGCTTTTTATTCTTGTATTATTGTTGTGATTGCAGCAAGTGTCAGCAAAGATTGTGTGATCAGAAACCTATGATTTTTTCAAGGCCACGGAAGATGATCACGATTCCACTGCTTTCATGGGGCATGATGTACAATATTCCATAAACCAAGTGTAAAACAATTGATATTAATTTTTTTAATTTATGTTTTCCAAAGAAACCCAATTTTGGTCTGAAAACCAAAGGTAAAGGTAAAGTCTTAACTAAACAAAACTGAATTTTCCTCAACTTGCCAGAGTAATTAGGTCCACCACCAGCATTGTAGCCACTACGCCAGCGCCGTCGGGCCAATACTGCACGCCAGGGCTGCTTCGAGTGTAGCGCCGGCTCTGTCATCCAGTCATCAGGACCAATGTGCACCAGGTCTAGATGAGTGAAGTGACGGGCAAAGTCTTCAAATGACATCCTGTAAAAAAAGACCTGCATTAAGAGAGTAAAATTATATGTTTTAGCAAATTTCCCATATGGTATAGGGAAATAAAAATGCTTTTTTAAAATGTTACGTTTTTAAACACACTAAAAAGGAGAAAATAATTTATAAATATGTTGAGAGAAAAACTAAAAACGTGGGGCCCATGCAATAGATCATAATAGTTCAATAGGTGGAAGTTAATTGTGAATTAGCATGCACCCAACGTTTTTTTGTTTTATATCTTACAAGTATTTATTCTCTCAACATATTTATAAATAATTTTCTACTTTTTAGTGCGTTTAGAAACGTGGCATTTTTAAAAAGTATTTTTATTTATAAATTATTATAGTGTAAATCCAATCAGGCAAATGGAAATTCGCTTAGTCTACAGGTTTGCTGCAGGGGGGGTGTTTATAAAAATTATAGGCCCTACAATAATACAAAAGATAGGAAAATTAATGCCAATGAGACTTCTTTTATTCAAGCCAACTATTTTTGTAGCTTAGTAGACCTACCGTACAGTAGTGATTAAAAATAAATAAATAAAATACAATAAATAAATAAATTGTAATTCAATATTTAAGTCTAGTGCAATGAAATCTGGTCTAGGTTTAACTTGTAACTAAACCTAATGTACCAGTAGTTTATAATCTTAAGACCTTGTTGTTTCAGATGAAAATAGTGTAGGGCTTTTATACTACATGGCCGCTGAACCCTTACCAAGCATAACGCAAAATAAAGAAGACAAAGATGCTGGTTTTAAGGTTTGAAGTAGTCTGATACCTAGTTGCCAAAATATGAAATGGGGCATGTAAAAAAGACGAAGACTTCATGAAGAGGAGGCCTACGCCTCTTCTTTAGTCCTTTCAAAATATTCTTAGGACTTATAAAGCTGTAAGCTACATTCAACTGACTTACACTTGGCCTATAATTAGGCCTATTGATTCATACATCTAGATCAAAACTATTGTCTTTACCTGTATAATTCTGTTTTTTTTTTTCGTAAATAGGTTGTAGAAAGGGTTTTGGGATTAGGCAAATCATAAGCTTGTGCTAAGTTTATCGCAAATACCCCTGGACGTGGTATCCAGATTTCAACTAACCTAACAGACACCATTCATAATAGGTAACAGCTGGACACTGTTAGGGCATAAACTACTTCCACAGATGCTCACCAGACTCACCAGAACTCTCCGTCGTTGCGCACTCTGACACTTAGCAGCTCCTTATCTCGTTCGCTCAGTCCATCCCATTCCCAGCTACGCTCGCTCCACGGGCCTGTCCATTCGCCCCGGCCCCACGGGTTGCGAAGGCGCACTAGTGGAGTCTCTCCGAGTGGCCCTCGTACCCTGGCCAGGCCGGTCACACTGTACGCAGTCTGGGTCATCAGTCCATTCCTTAACCTCAATTGTCTCTTGCTCTCCTTCTCCTACAAGGTTTAAAGAGAACGAATTAATTACGATGAATTCAGGCCTAGTAATTACCTGCCTACTTTAATCCCACAAAAAATCCTATTAATAGGCAAGCATGTTTATTGGATTCCTTTTTTTCTCAGCTTGTGTGCATCACAGGGAAAATCTACAAGTATAGGTACTGTTAGAAAGATATTTGCCTGTAGCGTAGATGTGCATCTGTTGAATCCCATAAAAAATAAAAAGGCTAAAAAATAAGCACAAAATATATTATATAAAATATAAAAAAAATGTATAAGTATAAATAATATAGGCCTTGTGAGTTGCTATGCTGGTGACGAAATATCAAAAAATATAACCAGAAAATCAAAACAAATGGAAGAAATTTATATCACATATTTTACTTACAGCGTTGGGTGAAAATAGAAAAATTTGCACAATGCATAGTTTTGGTAGAGTTTTCGACCACGGGGTGACCTCTAGTATAATTGAATAGACTGTCAAAGATTGTCAATAAAGTAAAGGCACCATTATGATATATATAGGCCTACATAGACAAAAATTGGTCGAGATTCTTAATTACCTGACTTTTTGTTACTTTCCTGTAACCTAGCTCTCCCTGTGAATGATTAAGTTAAGTGAAATTTCCAGGCTATTCCCATGTGGTATGAGTGTAGGCCTACACCATAAAGGGTGCATCCAGGCAAACTCTTTTTCCACCCTTGACTGTATTTGGAAAATAGGCGTCAGGCTTTTGAACCTCTACTTGCCTGTTATTTAAGTGCAATACCATTGACTAAGGAAATAAAAGCCCACTTTTGTTTACCTCGTCTGTGGCAATACATACCAAACAATCCATAACCTGCATAGGCCTATATCCCTTAGAGTGCCAGGCGAGAAATAAAAGTGACGCTCAAAAAATGCCGATGATTTTTCCCGAAGGTTGCGCTAAAAATGCCGAGCGCGATCTGGCGATTTTTAGGTTAAAATTTCGTAAAAATCGAATTTTCGATATTTCGACCAACGAAAATCGATGTATCGCATCTAGTAACTTTCGACTCAATGTTAATATATGGGTTAAAAGAATCCGAGTATCCATTCGGTTGTTATGACAACTGTTCGATCATTACGAAACGTCCGGTCAGCCGGACGTTGGCACTTTTGGCTCGTTCTAAAACGTCCGGTCGGCCGGACGTCGGCACTTTTGGCTCGTTTTAAAAACGTCCGGTTCCCCGGACGTTGGCACTCAAAGGGTTAATTGCTACCCCTTACCTCTTAGTTATGGAGCTAATCAACACATATGCTGATAGGAACGTTGTCTCTTTTTCTTAAATTTACAGTGTGTTTTAACTCTGTCAGTTTTTTATGAAAGCTGTTAAAAGTAGGCCTAATAATGAGAGACAAAATTGAGTAGGCTAAAGTGAATGAATTTAATAATGTCAATTTTAAGGCATAAAATATGTTTGACATGATGATTAGGCCTAGTTTGGAAATTGTTAGGTAAGTTAGTAAAATTACAATGGATTTAGTTTGCATTTCTGTTCAACTGTGCCACGGCTGATTAGGTTAAATAATCAAGACTGCTGTAAATAAAGTTAGGCCTACAGTAGGCTAAGCTTAGGCCTACTCCAGAGCTAAACAGTCTATTAAACTTAGTAATATTAAAATCTCACTAACTTGACAGCCGGTACTTAACTTGACAGTCAATAGTTTACAGGGTGCACATCTAGCTGGCTTGTCTTATTACTGTAGTGCTCACTTTTTAAGGACGGCTGAAGAGATTGCTTAAAATTTGTTGAGGATTGTTTACTCAATATATAAAACACTAATAGGTTATGTGAAGTAGGCTAATAAAGTATATGTAAAAGTTAGTCTGTTATGTTTATTTATTATATAAAACCCATTAAAAATGTCAAAGTTCTGGATAATTCCACAACCCACAAAATCGACAACCTCTGGGTCCACAAATTGTCGAGTTAGTCAGGTTTTACTGTGGTAGTGTTATAACAAGATCAAGTGGTGTTTAAGTGCTTCCCTGTAATATAATAGTAGCCTATTTTAGAAGTTATAAGTAGAGGTTTACATAAACAACTTACTGGATTAATGCTAGCTATCAATAAACTGGAACGGGGCACTGCACTGTTGAGGACTTGAAATGTGAGGTAGCGATCCTGGTTGCTGAGGCCAAAGCTTTGTACAATACCACCAGTTAAATCTTGTAAAGCTCTTGTCGTTGAACCACCATGACTTAGATTCTCGTAACATCCATACAACCTGAAGGGAAAGTAAATCCAAAGATATTGTACGGTAAGTATGAGATTAAAGTTACCTTAACCCTAGATGGGTATCGCACGTAAATTTGACGTAGGGAGAGTTATTTTTAGCCTACTTTTTGGCCCTACTTACCCAAGTCTATGTACAGCACATCTAGCCTATTATATACATTGGAACGATGTTGGCTTGTAAACAGCGTAGTTACGTTCGCTAGTGCCATAAGGAGAAAGAAAACAATCTTGTAAACAGCGTAGTTACGTTCGCTAGTGCCATAAGGAGAAAGAAAACAATGTAATATTGTAGGCTATATTTTCCTAACCTACAAACTAAGTTACAGCAATGTAAACTTACAAGAACTGCAATTTATCCCAATTAAACATTGTTATGGTAATGCGTACGTAGTTCTAACTAAAATACTTCATAGGATATTCTTCTGTATTTAACATTGTTCAAGGCCTATTATAAAAACTAAAATCTTTTAATAGTCTAGTTTTATACAAACCATGGTAGCAATTCTTCACAACTTCACGTCAATATTGTTGAACGAAGTAAGATTAGTTGTTGTAGACTAAAAGGTTTAGAAAGAAAAATAATCCGTTCACTTGAAATTATAAAGTTAATAGATAAATATAATATTCTAGTGAATGTTAACACAAGAAACTACCTACAAAATTAAAATACAGTAATACGATTAGATTAATCATCATCACCGGGTCCGAAGCAGACGACAAAATGTGAAACAAAATAACAAAAACAAAATATCTTCTGCAGTTGGAAGTTTTCTTTTCTCTTACAAAGTATGTCGAAATACTGGGGAAAATAGTAATTATAGCATTGATTATAATATTTAAAAATATTTATCCAGCCTTGTTTTAATGAGTTTGGAGAATTTATTATTTACTATGTATGAAATACAAATTATTTTTGGTTAGAAACATTTTTTTAAGGTTTACATTAGCCACCAATCATACTTACTTATAAATTAAATGAAATAGTATTTTACTTCCAATTCATTATATACATTGTTTTTACTTTCTCCCCCTCATTCAATTCAAATGTAGAATTTGTACTACAGCCACTCATCCTACACTCATCTCCATTCATACTTGGCTTAAAATACCTACTATGTATGGTCGCCATTTCATAAAAAGTAAGTATATAGTTATTTGTGCAACTAGTGAGAAAAGTGAGCAATTGACTCACTCGAGAGAAATCCTTACTCATGAGCCGTAGGCGAGTGAGGAATGGTTTCTAGAGTGAGGCAATTGTACTTTGAACTCGAGTTGCACATTATACTTTTCCTACAGTTACCATAAAACAAATAAATTGGTGAAGAAACATAACCTATTTTTACACAGAAGTGAACTTTTAATATAACATTTAATGTGAAGTGACAAATACAACAGTACAACAGCTGACCAGCTGATTTACAGCCAGTGCTGCCAACGTATTTCGCGCCCATACGACGTTGCCTGCATGTTACGCGCTCACTATTTCGTGCCTTCTCGTTGCAAATCTGGAGTGAGACAAAGTAATTAGAGTGAGACAATGTTAACATTGTCTCACTGATGAGCGAATTGGCCACTTTGCTTTCCCAAATCAGTGAGAGAACATGTACCGGTACATTGTTAGGTAACTGTAGGAAAAAGTATATATAAGTATAAATTCAGGTGAACATCATGACAATAAAGCGTTTTGATTGGCTGATTGTAATGAGTGAATTATGGAACAACTAGGGCATAATAAGTTAGTTTTGGAAAGACACCTTACTTTCTACATTACATTATTAATAGGAAAAGTGAGTTTTTAAAATTTTAATGATAAAGACGATACAGATTTTTCCAAAGAATCCAGTGATGCCAATATTTCAAAATAAAAAAATGCCGATTAAAAAATACTAATTGTCAAGTTTTGGGATGGAACGCCTCAATAATTAGAAAAATTAAACTTACTTTTAAAATATTTCAGCCACATAAAACGTTATTATAAAAAGAAACCCTGTTCTCTGGCGTTGCGACCAAACATCAAAGCACAAAAATAGTAAAAAGTATACCCATGAACTGTAAAATTAATTAATAAACATGTATCAGTATACTTGAATGTAAAAAAATATTCGTTTTATTTTACCCATTATAAATATATTCCTATTTTGTGTACCTACTTACTTTAGGGATACCCGGTATTGCTGGGACTACTCTTCCCACTAAAAATAAACACAATGTATCGATGCTGTGTACGAAGTGAATAATAATTATAGTGTACACCCTTATGTGAAGTTATATGCATAGGCCTATATCTAGAGTCCATTAAGGAATTCCATACTCCCTTTGAACCAGATAAATAAAACTTATAACTCATGTTATAAGTAACTTACTTAGCGTATGCCTTCTCTAAAAGTGCTGCCCAGAATTCTGTCGGGTTTGTCGAATGAAGATAAATTAGTCGTCCCCTGTAGGTTGGTAACCGGTCATCCACCAATACCTCCTTCCACTCTCCAAAATGCCAAAAACGAAACCTAAAACAAATTGTTATCATAAGATCCTAAATAATAATATTTGTAATAAACATTACATTGTGTACATTGTAGCAAACATAAATTAGTTTCCGGTAAACCTTTTAAAAGTTTTACTTCGAGGTATGTAGTTGGTTTCAAATCAGATAATATGTATAGGCAAACATTTTCATGAACGCATGTTGAATAGTATACCTGTAAAATATGTACAGACACCTTTTTGAAAACTAAACCATAACTAATATATGCATAAACTAAACTATGTACTAAACCTAAGGCATACGCTATTATGGATTTTCCCTTTAGATGATTAGTATTTCACAAATGACATATGTAGTAAATATAGGGAGAAAACTTGACAAAAATCGCAAATTGGGTTTTTGATCTACGTTATTTTATTTCCAAAATAGAAATATAATACAAATAACATATAATATAAATATAATACAAAATATAATACAAATTTTAATGGCTAAAGACACTCTCGCCAATCCTGTGAATATAATTAAACCATTAGAACCATGATTGGTACTCAATTTTCTTGGAGTAGGCCGTAGGCCGCGTAAAATGCCTTCTGGGCCGTGACAGACATACAGACAGACAATCAGACAGACAGAAATTTATATAAGACTTGCTTTGGCTTCTTTAACGTATAAAACGTAAAATAATAAATATAATTCTGAGCAATGTACAGACAAAACTATAATCTTATTTATATAGACAACACAACTGTAGGGCCTACGTGACAGTGACTTATTAGATCGCTATATTTTCTCCAAACTGCGGATAATATATTTTTAATTAGCAATTGAATATTTCACGAACATAAAGGAGTTTACGATTAAACATTCACAAAGTAAGTAAAATAAAAGTATAATTATTTATGAGAGTTAATATAAAATAGAATTGCAATTACCATAACAGTTTACGCAATTATTATTGAAGTTATTCAAAGCTCAAATCAAATAAGTAAGTAGGTAAGTGGCAGCAAGCAGTGCAGAAGTAGGTACTGTATCAGATAAGTATTCAGATACGAAATATGTATGAATGTAACATTGAGCTGCCAATCAAGAGTTAGTTGCGTTGACTGTACTTTCAATATGTTGGGAGCCCATTCATGGCAAAGTGATGGTAAACAGAAGTCGTAAATATGTCGTAATCCCATGCACTAATTGTCACATTAAACCTTAATACTCTCTGATACAGTAGTTATAAACCATAATCTTTTAAATCTTTTAAATTTAAAAAAAGAGTTGCACACAAAATAGCAATTGAGTCAATAACCATTATACCTAGAGAAAAAGTTCTACGTACATTATCTGGAACTTTTTTCATTTTAAGCTTTACACTAATTTCCTACATTAATTTGGGACGACTTAAAAAATGTGCATGTTTTTTGCAAATGTTAACATATTTTCTGGTATACAAATTTATACAATAACTGTTACACACATTATATTTGCTGTATTTTTCAAAACATTACCTACTTAAATTACACTACTATAAATTGTTATCAACATCGGAATGAATTTCGATTGTATGTAACGATTTTTAATAATATTCTTAAAAAAATTTGATGGACTTTTGATCATAGCCTATAGACTATGATTTTAAAGTGCAGCTTTTATGTGCTTGTGCCCTAACTAACTTAATCCCATAAATATGCATTCCAGTAATGTGGAACCCCGTAAAACATTCAATAGAGGTTTATAAACCTTTTACTAAGGGGGAGGGAACTAAATTACGCCTAGGCCTACGTAACGTTCTCATAAAGAGTATAATTGTAAAAATATAAGGTTTAAAGCCAAATGGACAACTAAAACCACTTTGAGTAGTAGCCTAAGGTCACTCCTATCGCACCACCTGTCAGGGCAGGTGGGGTGAATTAATTGAGTTTAAAGCCCATCAGGCGGAAATGGTTGCTTCCGGTGCTACGTCACTTTGTGACGTCATAGGTGATGTGTAATGGTAACAGGATACAGGTGGTAGGAGCTGGTGGTAATGGATAGGGGATGAAACAGCTGTCTGTACAGTAGTGTGTTTAAATAGCTAATACTTGTTCGTTTGCAATTGTCTTAAATGTATTGGGAATATCAACCAACAGCTACACCAAGGTTTTAAACCAAAACACAGCTTACATGTAGACAATAAATTGAGTTAAAATCATATTGTCGACGGTAACATTTAACAGTAGCCTACAGTATTGTACTAGTGCCCGCGGCGGCGTGGTGCAAGGTTGTGTCGTTGTGTCACCGGCCGCCGTGAATTAGGCTGAGGCCGCGAAGGGAAAGTGAGTGGGCAGTGGAACAAGGTCAAATGCCCCTACTCAACCTCCATGTGGATTTGTATCCACAGTTCTACAGTTTGCTTTCGGACATAGCGGCGGAGTGTTGTACGGTCCTGGGTCTATCGTTTGCATCGTTGATGCCATCGTAATACTACACCTCGATTGACTCAACAACACAAGGTATTGTAAAAACCAATTTTAATTTATATCTTATGTTAGATAGTCGCAGGTTAGCTGTTTGTGGTTAAAAGATGTTTATACAGAAATACGTTCCAAAAAGTAGATATATTTTCCCCATGTTAGTAAATATTTGTTGGTCTTAAAAAAAACCTTAAGTAGTGGTGTATTACGGGTACTGGAGACCGTGACGTAAAAAATTAAGTAAAATTAAATATCGTTTATATTTTGTTAAACAGTTTGACAGATCAGACTTTGTGGTCAAAATATGTTTATATAATGGAGTCTTTAGAAAGACTGTTTTTTTTTAAGTGAATTATACCCAATTCCATGTGTCCTGACTTGTGCGAATCAAATAAATTAGTTTGCCATCTTCAACGTCAGGAGGCTTTGGCACATTTAATCGTGTCGGAAAGCAAACCTCTAAAAACTTGTTGTCATAAAAGAAAATAAACGTTTTACCATTTTCGTTTTGTCTTTGTTCTACTAATTGATAATGTTTGTTTTGTAACACATATTTAAATGTTACTTTTTCTGTTTCTATTGGACTTACTAGTTGAGGAAGCTTCATTTCTTGACATATGGCTTCGGGTGATAATTGATTAGAATAATTTGATCCTGATGCATTCCAATGTAGTGGTAATTTAATTTGCTTCTGAAACTTTAGACGTAGTGACATTGACTTGCGAAAATTGCTAGTTTTAGTAGTAGTAGATTTCTTTAAATCTTCTTTTATTCTCTTTAGTTTATCTTGTGTGATTGTACTTGGCTTATCCATAGTTAACATCAGAACAGAGCTAGCATATGTGAACAGTCTTCGTTGAAGGTTCGACACTGAATGATGTGATGTTGGAGGTTTGGAGACTTCCTTACTTGGTAGGTAGAATTACCCGACAGTAGGGAAATTTACCCGCGAAGCAGGGTAAACCTCCCAACCGACCCCCTCCCAACTGGCTCGCGGATAAAAGTAGCGCCAGCGAACGGACTGTAGTCAGTCTCACCCAACTGGCACAGCTGACTGGTTGAGTGTAGACTGACTGACTTTTGATTAAAACCTTTCGTTAGATTTGGCCAATCTAACTTAATGTTTTAGTCAATAGCATGTGCTGCATGTTGTTTTTTTAGCTTGTATCTTAGATGGTTTTACTTTATGGAGTGCATCGTGTCTTTAGTACTTGAATTGCGCAGAGTGTTGTATTTTTCTAATCATGTGATATTTCAGCTAACAAAGGATAAAGAAGTCCCCCATTAAAATGAACAATCTTTTGTGACTGTAAATATTCTATATTTAAAATTTAAGTTGACCATTTTGTAATTAGTTGAGAGGTCCAACGGCCTGCATACTATTCTGCATTTGGTTAAATTAAATTTTAAACTTTTGTTGTCATTGGTAGTTTACTTATGTCAGCTAACAATGAACACTTTCTTGTGACTGTAAATATTCTATATTTTAAAATTTAAGTTGACCATATTGTAATTAGTTGAGAGGTCCAACGGCCTGCATACTATTCTGCATTTGGTTAAATTAAATTTTAAACTTTTCGTTGTCATTGGTTGTTTACTTATGTCAGCTAACAATGAACACTTTCTTGTGACTGTAAATATTCTATATTTTAAAATTTAAGTTGACCATTTTGTAATTAGTTGAGAGGTCCAACGGCCTGCATACTATTCTGCATTTGGTTAAATTAAATTTTAAACTTTTCGTTGTCATTGGTAGTTTACTTATGTCAGCTAACAATGAACACTTTCTTGTGACTGTAAATATTCTATATTTTAAAATTTAAGTTGACCATTTTGTAATTAGTTGAGAGGTCCAACGGCCTGCATACTATTCTGCATTTGGTTAAATTAAATTTTAAACTTTTCGTTGTCATTGGTAGTTTACTTATGTCAGCTAACAATGAACACTTTCTTGTGACTGTAAATATTCTATATTTTAAAATTTAAGTTGACCATTTTGTAATTAGTTGAGAGGTCCAACGGCCTGCATACTATTCTGCATTTGGTTAAATTAAATTTTAAACCTTTGTTGTCATTGGTAGTTTACTTATGTCAGCTAACAATGAACACTTTCTTGTGACTGTAAATATTCTATATTTTAAAATTTAAGTTGACCATTTTGTAATTAGTTGAGAGGTCCAACGGCCTGCATACTATTCTGCATTTGGTTAAATTAAATTTTAAACTTTTCGTTGTCATTGGTAGTTTACTTATGTCAGCTAACAATGAACACTTTCTTGTGACTGTAAATATTCTATATTTTAAAATTTAAGTTGACCATTTTGTAATTAGTTGAGAGGTCCAACGGCCTGCATACTATTCTGCATTTGGTTAAATTAAATTTTAAACTTTTCGTTGTCATTGGTAGTTTACTTATGTCAGCTAACAATGAACACTTTCTTGTGACTGTAAATATTCTATATTTTAAAATTTAAGTTGACCATTTTGTAATTAGTTGAGAGGTCCAACGGCCTGCATACTATTCTGCATTTGGTTAAATTAAATTTTAAACTTTTCGTTGTCATTGGTAGTTTACTTATGTCAGCTAACAATGAACACTTTCTTGTGACTGTAAATATTCTATATTTTAAAATTTAAGTTGACCATTTTGTAATTAGTTGAGAGGTCCAACGGCCTGCATACTATTCTGCATTTGGTTAAATTAAATTTTAAACCTTTGTTGTCATTGGTAGTTTACTTATGTCAGCTAACAATGAACACTTTCTTGTGACTGTAAATATTCTATATTTTAAAATTTAAGTTGACCATTTTGTAATTAGTTGAGAGGTCCAACGGCCTGCATACTATTCTGCATTTGGTTAAATTAAATTTTAAACTTTTCGTTGTCATTGGTAGTTTACTTATGTCAGCTAACAATGAACACTTTCTTGTGACTGTAAATATTCTATATTTTAAAATTTAAGTTGACCATTTTGTAATTAGTTGAGAGGTCCAACGGCCTGCATACTATTCTGCATTTGGTTAAATTAAATTTTAAACTTTTCGTTGTCATTGGTAGTTTACTTATGTCAGCTAACAATGAACACTTTCTTGTGACTGTAAATATTCTATATTTTAAAATTTAAGTTGACCATTTTGTAATTAGTTGAGAGGTCCAACGGCCTGCATACTATTCTGCATTTGGTTAAATTAAATTTTAAACCTTTGTTGTCATTGGTAGTTTACTTATGTCAGCTAACAATGAACACTTTCTTGTGACTGTAAATATTCTATATTTTAAAATTTAAGTTGACCATTTTGTAATTAGTTGAGAGGTCCAACGGCCTGCATACTATTCTGCATTTGGTTAAATTAAATTTTAAACTTTTCGTTGTCATTGGTAGTTTACTTATGTCAGCTAACAATGAAAACTTTCTTGTGACAGTAAATATTCTATATTTAAAATTTAAGTTGACCACTTTGTAATTAGTTGAGAGGTCCAACGGCCTGCATACTATTCTGCATTTGGTTAAATTAAATTTTAAACTTTTCGTTGTCATTGGTAGTTTACTTATGTCAGCTAACAATGAACACTTTTAAGCTTTTGTTGTTATACCTAAACACAGACTCTTTCCTCACTACAACAGAAGGAGAGATAGAGCATGTTTGCTCCATCTCTTCTTTTGGTATTATTTTAAATGACCTTGACCTACTTACAGGACTTTGAAAATATTTTGGAAAAAATATAAAAACGGTAGTAATGGATCTTGTATATGTTTGAATCCGACCGGGCATATATTCTAGCTAGGGACCTACTATCGCTAGTTAATTTACATAAGCAGGTGCAGCGTTGTTCTACCCCCACCACTCAACCCGAGCGTATAAAAGGGCTGCGAGCAGACGGATGATTGTCAGTCTTGCACAACCGGTGAAGCTGACCGGATGGGCAAACTGGCTAAAGATGAGACCCTTAGTTTAGAGTTGGTACCACTCTAACCTAAGGTTCTTGTCACTTAGTAGTTATATTAGAAGCATGTTGATTGTAGTATTTGTTGGCTTGTAGTTAGAGGGTGTTTTGCGTATTTGTATCTTTGGTAAGGGTGTTGTATTTCTTAATTATGTGATGTTCTATTTCAGGTATCAAAATAATAAAGTCCCTATTAGTAATTTTATTTTCAATTTGAGTTGATCATTGTATGTTACAAAGTTCTAAGTGACATTAGTAAGTTGAAAACGTTCACACAAAACAAAAACATGAAACCAATAGTAAATTCATGACATAGAGTTCTCTTTGACATACACACATTTTTATGGGGACAGTTCGTTGACTGCGCTGCTCCGGCTATTGCTAATGAGTCTTTGATCAATACCATGAGGACAGTCCTTTGGCTGCGCTGCCTCTGATCAAAAAGACTGATACATTGGTCTTTAGCCAATTCAGACTTACACACAAACATGAAAATAAAACAAACACTAAGTTCCCCCACTACAACAAAATGAGATAGATGACATTCACACATTTTTATGGGGACAGTTCGTTGACTGCGCTGCTCCGGCTATTGCTAATGAGTCTTTGATCAATAACATGAGGACAGTCCTTTGGCTGCGCTGCCTCTGATCAAAAAGACTGATACATTGGTCTTTAGCCAATTCAGACTTACACACAAACACGAAAATAAAACAAACACTAAGTTCCCCCACTACAACAAAAGGAGAGATGGAGCTTATTTTTGCTCCATCTCTCCTTTTGGCATTATTTTGAAATGACCTTGACCTACTTACAGGACTTAGAAAGCTTCCCTTAAAATACATAACAAACACTAAGTTCCCCTATTACAACAAAAGGAGAGATGGAGCCAATTTTTGCTCCATCTCTCCTTTTGGCAATATTTTTAAATGACCTTGACCTACTTACAGGACTTAGAAAGCTTCCTTATAGTACATTATTGGGAACCGAGAACAGTTCTTTTAAGTTAACACCAACGGACACAACATTTCCCCTCCAACCACAAGCTTCTCCCCTC